AAAAAAAAAGGAGGCAGAAGAGAGGGAGAATCGGCGGGATCGCCGCCAGGAGAGGAATTTAGCTAAGATTTTGGCCGCAGGAGTAGGCGGAGAACGGTCAGAGAGAGGACAGTCATGTTACCTGGGCAACAGGGCAAGAAGACCCCCGGAGGACAGAGACTCAACTTGAAAAAGACCAATGTGCATACTGTAAAGAAAAAGGGCACTGGGCCAGAGATTGCCCCCGAAAGAAACAAAAGGGCCGCAAGATGTTGGCCCTCGAGGAAGATTAGGGTAGTTGGGGCTCGGTCCCCCTCCCCGAGCCTAGGGTAACTCTCTCTGTGGGGGGAAACCCCATTAATTTCTTAGTATATAGGGGGGCGGAACACTCAGTTTTGACTAAACCTTTAGGGCCGTTAGGATCGAAAAAAAACCCTGGTCATGGGGGCGACTGGGAGCAAACTTTACCCTTGGACAACCGAAAGACGCCACCCGTCGTAGTCGAGCTAAAAGAGGCTGCCACCCCCGTCTCAGTCAGACAGTACCCCATGACTCAAGGGGCTAAAGAAGGCATTCGACCACATATCCAGAGACTGTTACAACAAGGTATACTGATTCCCTGCCGGTCCCCTTGGAATACCCCCCTTCTGCCGGTATGTAAGCCTGGAACCAATGATTATCGGCCTGTCCAGGACTTGAGCGAAGTCAATAAACGAGTACAGGACATTGACCCAACCGTGCCCAACCCTTACAACTTGCTGAGTTCCTTACCGCCTGAACGATCCTGGTACACGTGCCCAACCCTTACAACTTACTGAGTTCCTTACCGCCTGAACGATCCTGGCACACCGTTCTGGGTTTGAAAGATGCCTTTTTCTGTCTCAGGTTACATCCGAATAGCCAACCCTTGTTCGCTTTTGAGTGGCAAGATCCCGAAGGAGGACATACAGGTCAACTGACCTGGACTAGGTTGCCACAGGGGTTCAAAAATTCACCGACTCTTTTCGATGAAGCGCTCCACTGTGACCTTGCGCCCTTCAGGGCACGGAACCCCCAGATTTCTCTCTTGCAGTACGTAGATGATTTACTGCTCGCAGCCTTGACCCAGAATTGTGCCTCGACAGGACCAGAAAGCTCCTAAAGGAATTGGGTGAGTTGGGGTACCGGGTGTCCGCCAAGAAAGCCCAGTTATGCCGCTCGGAGGTGACCTACCTAGGATACACCCTCCGAGAAGGGAAGTGGTGGCTCACTGAAGCACGGAAAAAGACTGTGAGGCAGATCCCGACCCCCACCACTCCGCGACAAGTACATGAGTTTTTGGGAACTGCGGGTTTTTGTAGACTCTGGATACCTAGGTTTGCCATGCTGGCGGCCCCTCTGTACCCACTCACTAAAGAAAAAGTCCCATTCACCTGGACGGAGGAGCACCAAAGAGTCTTTGATAAGATAAAGACTGCCCTGCTCACAGCTCCTGCTTTGGCCCTGCCAGATCTGACTAAGCCTTTCACTCTATATGTTGATGAGCGTGCTGGAGTGGCCCGTGGAGTTCTGACTGAGACCCTGGGGCCCTGGAAGCGGCCGGTGGCCTACCTATCTAAAAAGCTAGACCCCATCGCCAGCGGGTGGCCCTCTTGCTTGAAACCCATTGCTGCAGTAGCCCTACTTGTAAAAGACACTGATAAGCTCACCCTGGGTCAGCATGTGACTGTAATCACTCCCCATGCTTTAGAAAGTATTGTGCAGCAGCCCCCCGACCGCTGGATGACAAACACCCGGATGACACATTACCAGAGCTTGTTGTTAAATGATCGGATAACCTTCATTCCTCCTGCTATTCTCAACCCGGCCACCCTGCTCCCTGAAGCAGAGGACTCTACCCCGGTGCACCGATGCACTGACATCCTGGCTGAAGAAACCGGGACCAGGAAAGACCTGACCGACCAATCTTGTCCGGGTGTGCCTAACTGGTATACGGACGGCAGCAGTTTTGTGGTAGAAGGTAAAAGAAGGGTGGGAGCAGCGGTGGTGGATGGAAAGCAGGTAATTTGGGCTAGCAGTCTCCCAAAAGGAACCTCCTCTCAAAAAGCTGAGCTCCTGGCATTGACTCAAGCTCTGCGTCTGGCAGAAGGTAAGGCTATCAACATTTACACGGACAGCCGTTATGCTTTCACCATGGCTCACATTCATGGGGCCATCTACAGACAGAGGGGCTTACTCACCTCAGCAGGAAGAGACGTTAAAAACAAAGAAGAAATCCTGGCCCTCCTAGAAGCCATACATCTTCCACAAAAATTAGCCATCGTCCACTGCCTGGGACACCAGAAGGGG